TGAAATAAAGCGATTGTAATCAGTCAGAGATGCAGTTCTGGATCATCTTATTACAGGTCATCCAGGACCTTATTATAAGGTGTGTGTCACCAGTAGGGTTGTCAAAAGTATCGATACTCAAAAAAGTATCGATACTGAAACGTTGTATCCGGATACAATACTCATTTTCAAAAGTATCGATACAGCCAACTAAAGTGCAGAATAGTGGAAAATGCACTTTCTGAACACTGTGGGATTGAATAATTCTGTGCATTTTTCAGTTTCAGACTTTTTTTTAAAGGTGCAGCTGCTGAGAATTAGTTTTATCAAGCTTGCTTAATATAATATTGTGCACAGCATACAACCTCAAAATATTATTCGTATTCTTTTTTTATTTATTTCTTGTATTTTTTTAGTAATGAAAATATTTCTGTTGAATTTTAGAGTCTTTGATTTTATTCTTGTGGTATCGAAAATGGTATCGAATATTTTACTTAGTATCGGTATCGAGTTGAAAAGTTTAGTATCGTGACAACCCTAGTCACCACTAGTTTATACTGGTTGCATCTGAAGAAGGGCCATTAATATCTTTGATAGCAAGATTTGATCTTTTCTTTTTTTTAATTCCAAGCAAGTTTCTTTCTGACTAATTTTTAATTAAAAGCGTTTGAGACTAAAATACCACTGAGATTTCCAGACTGAAACTAGACTAGGAAATAAGTATTTAACAAAAGTTTCACTAAAATCATTTACATTTCTGTCTGTCAAATTTTTTTTCCTAAATTATCTCTGGTTTAATATCACTGTTAATTTGGATCCATCTCTAGAAATAATCTGTGATGAAAAACGTGATAATTTAGGCATTCGGTCTTTAATCTCATTCTGCGATCCCCTTTCCCTGTTTTTAATTGACGGTATCAGTCGTTCCCTTTATTTTTCAGCTTTCCAAGAATAAAATCCCATCACCTTCACGTTCTGCCTGTGATCGACTGCCTGCAACCGGTTTTTAATTGGTGACGTTAAGCAAGGGAAGCGTCCTTTTGGTGAAACCCAACCAATCACGGCTCGCTAAGTTGAGTCAGAATTGAGCGTCTCATCCTGACATTTTGAGCAATCTTTTTAAACTATATTAATTTCCACAGCTAAAAACAAACCTGGCAGACGGAGACGCATCACAAGGGGAGCAGTATGTAGATTTTAGAGCCTCTAGAGATAAAAATCAGGACGAACAAAGAACCATCTGCCTTAAAGAATCTGTTTAATTCAGTTCAGTTTGATGCGTTTTAACTGGTTTTTTTTTGTTGTTTTTTGTAGGTTTCTGAGGCAGAGGAGCGCGCTCGTGAAAGAGCGCAGGCCGCTGAGCTTCGGGTGGCGGGTTTGGAGCAGCGCGTGTCGGAGCTGTCGGAGCTGCTGGGATCCTGTGAGAAGGCGAAGCAACGAGACCAGCAGACGGCTCAGAGACTGAGAGACCGCATCCTGCAGCTGGACACTGAAAACAAGACGCTGGCCATCGCCGCCTCCAGCAGGTCGAGCACAGACCTCAGCCTGGACGAGTCGCAGCTGGACGTGGCCGTTCTGAAGGACAAACTGCAGACGGTGAAGAAGCTGCTGCTGATGGCGGCTCAGAGGAACCCAGATCAGAACATCCAGGATCTGGCCAACACCGAGGAGGAGTCAGGCGTGGACAAAACCACAGCTCTGGTTTATCAGCAGGAGCTGCAGCAGCTGAGGGACGAGTTTGAACGCTACAAGCTGCGTGCCCAGGTGGTGCTAAAGAACAAGACGGCTAAAGATGGCTGCCAGGCCAAAGAGCTGGAGGAGGTCCGGGATCAACTGTCGGAGCTACGGGAGAAGTACATCACCCTGCGGATCCAGAGCGATGAGGCGGAGGCGCGGCACCGCCAGCAGCTGGAGGAGCGGCAGCAGCAGGCGGCGGGGCTGCAGCACGCCCACAAACAGGAGCTGGAGCGGCTGGAGGTGCAGCACCGTGACGAGCTGCAGCGGCTGGAGGCGGAGCTCCACAAACACCGGGAGAGGACCATGGCGCTGCTGGAAGAAAAGGATCTGGAGCTGGAGAGGCTGAGAAGCACCGTTCTCTGCAGCAGCCGAGACGCCAGCAAAATCAACAACATGGCCGACAGTGTGCAGGAGGCCGGCTCCGACTGCGAAGGCGATGCGGTCAGCCTGGCCCTGCGGCAGGCCACGCCCAATGAGTCCACCATGCTGCTTTATGCCGAGCAGCTGGCACGCAAAGACGTGGAGGTGGGCGGCCTGCGGCGACAGAAAAACCGCCTGGAGGAGGACCTGCACCAGCTGCAGGCCAGGCTCATCGCCAACGCCGAGCGGCACGAAGAGGAGACGGCCGAGCTGAGGGGCCGGCTCGACAAGCTGATCCGGGATCAGAACCGAGAGGGCGCAAACCTGGAGTACCTGAAGAACGTCATCTACAAGTTCCTGACGCTGCAGGACGCCAGCGGGCGGCTGCAGACACTAAACGCCATCCTGACCATCCTGCATTTCAGCCCGCAGGAGAAAGATGACGTCTCCAAGCTGCAGGGGCCAGCCTGGTGGGGCCCCATACGGAGGTGAACGCCTGCAGGGGCCAGCCTGGTGGGGCCCCATACGGAGGTGAACGCCTGCAG